CGTGTGTTTCAATACCAGTTCATCCTTATAATGTTTCTAGGTTTGTCACACTCATACTGAAACCTATGATCATGGGTTTCAATCCCACTCCATCCTTATAATGTTTCTAGGTTTGTCACACTCATACTGAAACCTATGATCGTGTGTTTCAATCCCACTCCATCCTTATAATGTTTCTAGGTTTGTCACACTCATACTGAAACCTGTGATCATGGGTTTCAATCCCAGTTCATCCTTATAATGTTTCTAGGTTTGTCACACTCATACTGAAACCTATGATCGTGTGTTTCAATCCCAGTTCATCCTTATAATGTTTCTAGGTTTGTCACACTCATACTGAAACCTATGATCATGGGTTTCAATACCAGTTCATCCTTATAATGTTTCTAGGTTTGTCACACTCATACTGAAACCTGTGATCATGGGTTTCAATCCCAGTTCATCCTTATAATGTTTCTAGGTTTGTCACACTCATACTAAAACCTATGATCGTGTGTTTCAATCCCAGTTCATCGTTATAATGTTTCTAGGTTTGTCACACTCATACTAAAACCTATGATCGTGTGTTTCAATACCAGTTCATCGTTATAATGTTTCTAGGTTTGTCACACTCATACTGAAACCTATGATCGTGTGTTTCAATCCCACCACACCCTTATAATGTTTCTAGGTTTGTCACACTCATACTGAAACCTGTGATCATGGGTTTCAATCCCACTCTATCTTTATAATGTTTCTAGGTTTGTCACACTCATACTGAAACCTGTGATCATGGGTTTCAATCCACTCTATCTTTATAATGTTTCTAGGTTTGACCCACTCATACTGAAACCTGTGATCATGGGTTTCAATCCCACTCTATCTTTATAATGTTTCTAGGTTTGTCACACTCATACTGAAACCTATGATCGTGTGTTTCAATCCCAGTTCATCGTTATAATGTTTCTAGGTTTGTCACACTCATACTGAAACCTGTGATCATGGGTTTCAATCCCAGTTCATCCTTATAATGTTTCTAGGTTTGTCACACTCATACTGAAAACCTATGATCGTGTGTTTCAATCCCAGTTCATCGTTATAATGTTTCTAGGTTTGTCACACTCATACTGAAACCTATGATCATGTGTTTCAATCCCAGTTCATCCTTATAATGTTTCTAGGTTTGTCACACTCATACTGAAACCTGTGATCATGGGTTTCAATCCCAGTTCATCCTTATAATGTTTCTAGGTTTGTCACACTCATACTGAAACCTATGATCATGGGTTTCAATACCAGTTCATCCTTATAATGTTTCTAGGTTTGTCACACTCATACTGAAACCTGTGATCATGGGTTTCAATCCCAGTTCATCCTTATAATGTTTCTAGGTTTGTCACACTCATACTAAAACCTATGATCGTGTGTTTCAATCCCAGTTCATCGTTATAATGTTTCTAGGTTTGTCACACTCATACTAAAACCTATGATCGTGTGTTTCAATACCAGTTCATCGTTATAATGTTTCTAGGTTTGTCACACTCATACTGAAACCTATGATCGTGTGTTTCAATCCCACCACACCCTTATAATGTTTCTAGGTTTGTCACACTCATACTGAAACCTGTGATCATGGGTTTCAATCCCACTCTATCTTTATAATGTTTCTAGGTTTGTCACACTCATACTGAAACCTGTGATCATGGGTTTCAATCCCACTCTATCTTTATAATGTTTCTAGGTTTGACCCACTCATACTGAAACCTGTGATCATGGGTTTCAATCCCACTCTATCTTTATAATGTTTCTAGGTTTGTCACACTCATACTGAAACCTATGATCGTGTGTTTCAATCCCAGTTCATCGTTATAATGTTTCTAGGTTTGTCACACTCATACTGAAACCTGTGATCATGGGTTTCAATCCCAGTTCATCCTTATAATGTTTCTAGGTTTGTCACACTCATACTGAAACCTATGATCGTGTGTTTCAATCCCAGTTCATCGTTATAATGTTTCTAGGTTTGTCACACTCATACTGAAACCTATGATCATGTGTTTCAATCCCAGTTCATCCTTATAATGTTTCTAGGTTTGTCACACTCATACTGAAACCTGTGATCATGGGTTTCAATCCCAGTTCATCCTTATAATGTTTCTAGGTTTGTCACACTCATACTGAAACCTATGATCGTGTGTTTCAATCCCAGTTCATCGTTATAATGTTTCTAGGTTTGTCACCCTCATACTGAAACCTGTGATCATGGGTTTCAATCCCAGTTCATCCTTATAATGTTTCTAGGTTTGTCACACTCATACTGAAACCTATGATCGTGTGTTTCAATCCCAGTTCATCCTTATAATGTTTCTAGGTTTGTCACACTCATACTGAAACCTATGATCATGGGTTTCAATACCAGTTCATCCTTATAATGTTTCTAGGTTTGTCACACTCATACTGAAACCTGTGATCATGGGTTTCAATACCAGTTCATCCTTATAATGTTTCTAGGTTTGTCACACTCATACTAAAACCTATGATCGTGTGTTTCAATCCCAGTTCATCGTTATAATGTTTCTAGGTTTGTCACACTCATACTGAAACCTATGATCGTGTGTTTCAATCCGAGTTCATCGTTATAATGTTTCTAGGTTTGTCACACTCATACTAAAACCTATGATCATGGGTTTCAATCCCAGTTCATCCTTATAATGTTTCTAGGTTTGTCACACTCATACTGAAACCTATGATCATGGGTTTCAATACCAGTTCATCCTTATAATGTTTCTAGGTTTGTCACACTCATACTGAAACCTGTGATCATGGGTTTCAATCCCAGTTCATCCTTATAATGTTTCTAGGTTTGTCACACTCATACTAAAACCTATGATCGTGTGTTTCAATCCCAGTTCATCGTTATAATGTTTCTAGGTTTGTCACACTCATACTAAAACCTATGATCGTGTGTTTCAATACCAGTTCATCGTTATAATGTTTCTAGGTTTGTCACACTCATACTGAAACCTATGATCGTGTGTTTCAATCCCACCACACCCTTTTAATGTTTCTAGGTTTGTCACACTCATACTGAAACCTGTGATCATTGGTTTCAATCCCACTCTATCTTTATAATGTTTCTAGGTTTGTCACACTCATACTGAAACCTGTGATCATCGGTTTCAATCCCACTCTATCTTTATAATGTTTCTAGGTTTGACCCACTCATACTGAAACCTGTGATCATGGGTTTCAATCCCACTCTATCTTTATAATGTTTCTAGGTTTGTCACACTCATACTGAAACCTATGATCGTGTGTTTCAATCCCAGTTCATCGTTATAATGTTTCTAGGTTTGTCACACTCATACTGAAACCTGTGATCATGGGTTTCAATCCCAGTTCATCCTTATAATGTTTCTAGGTTTGTCACACTCATACTGAAACCTATGATCGTGTGTTTCAATCCCAGTTCATCGTTATAATGTTTCTAGGTTTGTCACACTCATACTGAAACCTATGATCATGTGTTTCAATCCCAGTTCATCCTTATAATGTTTCTAGGTTTGTCACACTCATACTGAAACCTGTGATCATGGGTTTCAATCCCAGTTCATCCTTATAATGTTTCTAGGTTTGTCACACTCATACTGAAACCTATGATCGTGTGTTTCAATCCCAGTTCATCGTTATAATGTTTCTAGGTTTGTCACACTCATACTGAAACCTGTGATCATGGGTTTCAATCCCAGTTCATCCTTATAATGTTTCTAGGTTTGTCACACTCATACTGAAACCTATGATCGTGTGTTTCAATCCCAGTTCATCGTTATAATGTTTCTAGGTTTGTCACACTCATACTGAAACCTATGATCGTGTGTTTCAATCCCAGTTCATCGTTATAATGTTTCTAGGTTTGTCACACTCATACTGAAACCTATGATCATGTGTTTCAATCCCAGTTCATCCTTATAATGTTTCTAGGTTTGTCACACTCATACTGAAACCTGTGATCATGGGTTTCAATCCCAGTTCATCCTTATAATGTTTCTAGGTTTGTCACACTCATACTGAAACCTATGATCGTGTGTTTCAATCCCAGTTCATCGTTATAATGTTTCTAGGTTTGTCACACTCATACTGAAACCTGTGATCATGGGTTTCAATCCCAGTTCATCCTTATAATGTTTCTAGGTTTGTCACACTCATACTGAAACCTATGATCGTGTGTTTCAATCCCAGTTCATCGTTATAATGTTTCTAGGTTTGTCACACTCATACTGAAACCTATGATCGTGTGTTTCAATCCCAGTTCATCGTTATAATGTTTCTAGGTTTGTCACACTCATACTGAAACCTGTGATCATGGGTTTCAATCCCAGTTCATCCTTATAATGTTTCTAGGTTTGTCACACTCATACTAAAACCTATGATCGTGTGTTTCAATCCCAGTTCATCGTTATAATGTTTCTAGGTTTGTCACACTCATACTGAAACCTGTGATCATGGGTTTCAATCCCAGTTCATCCTTATAATGTTTCTAGGTTTGTCACACTCATACTAAAACCTATGATCGTGTGTTTCAATCCCAGTTCATCGTTATAATGTTTCTAGGTTTGTCTGCACCATCCTCATCCTCACCATTTGGCCAAGTGGTAAACCTCTAAGAATCACTACAAGATTTCCTGCAACATAGGGGGCAGTGGGGTAGTCTAGTGGTTAAAGCGGTCGCTTGTTACGCCGAAGACCTGGGTTCAATTCCGACATGGCTACAATGTGTGAAGCCCATTTCTGGTGTCCCTGCCGTGATGGCTTCATTGTGTGAAGCCCATTTCTGGTGTCCCTGCCATGATATTGCTGGAATATTGCTAAAAGTGGCGTAAAACCATACTCACTCACTCACTTCAACATGATTAAGCCAACACACGGTCATACAACTGGAATATTGTCAAAAACAACGTTAAACCCTACTCATTATACAGTTGTAGTCAAACTTCACATAAACAGATGACTAGGACAATAAATAGCAATAATAATAACTTTTATTTCTTTGGACAGTGGATCCATGTAAAAAGCACAAAGTACACAACTTCTCATTCAACATCATACAATACAATAAAAATGTATTTTTATATTTTTTCATTTTCTTTTTTCCATTGACTATAAACAAATGTGGTATATAAAGTGAGAATGTTTGCAAATGAGTTTACAGTAGTGAAATTATGCACTATCAAGTTTTGTTTATGATAACCACAACATTCAACTTTATGCAACTTGCACCCCAGATTCCAGTCCAGGGAAAAAATCAACACCAAACTTATCAACAACAGTTAAAAAGTTGAATAACAAAAACACGTTTGCATAACGAGTGTAGCATATTGAGATTGCAGATGTTCCGACCCTGCCAAAACATATCTACTTGAATATTACTATTTCATAAACAAAGTACCTTTTTTCACCTTTTGTCCAGACATATAACAACTATTGCTTAAAATATTCAAACAATTAATTGAAAATCTGTCATATAAAGAATCCAAGACAGAATTCATTTAAATAATATTTTCTTGATCTAATTGATTTGAACCATACTAATATCGGTTGCAAGTATATCGTTGTCATTAGCAAAAAACAGTTTTAAAACAAACCCTGATTATTGAGAAAACAAAAATATGAACAAAAAGCTGTACACAATGTGAGGGATGTTTGGAGATGATGCAGTGTCTTCATCATACAGTGGTTGATTTGGAGTACGCATACAGCCTCTGTAAGATTCCGGTGATAGAGTGTCAGTGTGCACTGATATACGATGAGTGGTAAAATAGGATATACATTGTATTTCTCAGTGTATATGGAAACATTGTGAGCACTAATAACCACCCGGCCAACCCACCCTAGCTTATTGCCTTTAAGGCAATAAGCTTTTACCCCTCTTCGTTTCTTGTCTTGTCCCCACAGTCCTCCATTGTGGAAGTAGCATTCGGTTCCCACATCCTTGTTCAACATCTGCTATCTTCACAATTGGAAAAGGTGTTGACATTTGCGCAAATAGGTCTGTCATTTCTCAGCGCCATATTTCAACAGTTTGCAAAAGAAATTATTTGCAAATCACAGATTCAAACAGTGTCTATTTCCATGTCACAGAATTGCAAGTCTTTCGAATGTTTGCATCAAGTCTCTTTCACCGGGAGAGAGTTCAAGATTTCTGGGGTGTTACGAGAAGGCGTTGGTATAGCTCCGACTGTAGGAAGCGAGGGTAGGAATCTTTCTCCATGAGTGCCTGGACTCTCCGCTGAGCATCCTCAAACGTCTGTCGAGTCACCTGACTGAGATTCCCTAGGGTCTTCACTCGGGTCTTGGAGTCGAGATTGATCTGCCAGAGATAAGAAGAAACGTAAGTAAAATGTCAACACTGGACTGTTAAAAGTCAATACAAAATAGAAAATCATTCAAAACTGGCTTGCTCCAATGATATATTGCTTGAGCGAGCTCTACCTTTATCTGCTAATGTTAATTACCTGAACACACTCAAGTGAGATACTCCCCATTACTGTCATTGAGGATGTCAAATAGGCTGTGAAAGCCAAGCAATAATCAGTAGACTGCTAACTACTGCAATCAACAGATGGCAATAGATAATGTAATTATAGTGCCAAAAACAGGGCGGTAGGGTAGCCTAGTGGTTGAAGTGTTCACTCGTCACATGGGTTCGAGTCCCAACATGGGTACAATGTGTGAAGCCCATTTCTGGTGTCTCCCGCTGTGATATTGCTGGAATATTGCTAAAAGCCGCATAAAACTAAACTCACTCACACTCACATGGCAAAAACATTAAGTTTCAAGTCAACATAAGATGTTCGACCTTCTGAAACTCCCACACCAACTACAGGTTCACTAAATACAAGCGAAACTCACCTCCCGTGGTGCTTGCACGGCCACAAAGTCTGTGTAGATCTTGTTGGCAACTGAGCTAAGTTTGCTGGACTTGGTCGTCTTGAACTGCTCACAGGCGATCCAGAACTCAATATTCTCCTCACTGAACTCTGACTTGAGGAAACCTTTAAACAACTCAAGCCCATCTGGAACAGGAACAGGAACAGATGAAGAACAACCTAATAAATATTTATTCAATCTTATATTCAGAGCTGATTTACTGACAACATATTTCTTTATTCCTCATGAAAATTTATACATTTCAATTCAAAGCCAAGACACCATCAACCGTCATCTGAGACTTGAACCAAAATTCATTTGCATCAGTAATGTTAAAACATCCTTCAGGAATCGGAACATCTAATTTGATGTGGGTAAGGTTACTCACGTCTGTCTGTGAGGAGAGCCTCGAAGGACTTGCTCCATTGCTGGACATCCTCCTGGTTGATGTGACAGATCTTGCCGTTCTCTGTTCGGAGGGTCACCCAGGGATGTGTCTGTGTGTCTTCGACGCAGGAACTGAAGCTTCTTTTTTCATGTTCTTTGCTCTGCAAATAAACAACCATGTAATCAATTACAAGAAAACTACATCTATAAATGAGCTTTATTGACACAATATTGATCTATTGGTCTTCTGTTGCCTTTTGTGCAAACATGTCAGTAAGTATTAGCAAAAGATCTAATTTATAATTTGTAATTCAAAATCACGAAAACCCTGATCCTGCACAATTATTTAAACATGCTGTCATGCTGAGCCTATAATCTTGTGCCAGGACGAGCCTGAAAGCAGTTTGTGACATATTTTATTGCTGAATGTTTTTTTCAGACGTGGGGGTAATGAATAGCCATCTCAATTGCAAACATGTTTTTCTTCTACTTTCCTGAATTTTACAGTCAGAAAATCTTTAGATCCATTAATAAAAGAAATCTTGCCTAACATATTTCCAACACAGTAATTTTGTTCAAAAATGTTACTTACAGTCCTCGAGACTTTGTCTTCGCCTGGTTGCTGAATGATGGGATGTCGTCTGACGCCATCATCGCAGCATCAGCTGAAGATGTCTTGTGTATTGGGCGTGGAGGGCGTCTACCTGTCTCACACTCAGTCGACTCACTGCTCACAAGCTTCAGTCTTCGACTCTCAATCTGCAATAAACATGTTTCTTATAAGACAAGCCCTGAGATGTCGTGATGTCACCTACTGGAAATAGCTTCCATTGTGACGTCTTCGCCAACACATACGTAATTATCACTTAAATAAGTCTTGATAAGGTCACTGTCTAAACACGTCTTTAGGGGACATGATGTTTTTACAACCTAGAAATCATGATTTACACTGATGACCATTGCCCTTGGAGAATGTTGGAAGAGCACAGTAGGCTATCAAATACACAATTCCACTAACCTAAAACAAATTACACACCCGGAACCCACATGGGAAATTCTACACAAAAACACTTGCCTTAAGATCAAGAAATTACATGCTGAAGCCATTTCACAAAGAACCACCATGCATAATGCTTGGAAATTTGTTGAGGGAAAGTATCTTTACTGCACGGCTTCATCCATCAGTGGCTAAGCCTCAACCCACGCAGGAATTCTTGAAAGCAATTTCTTTCCCTCAAAACATGACCTTTTTGCCAAAACTCTTTAACTCCTGATTTGTCCTCTATTGTTAGTCTGGAGAAGCGATAACCATTCCTACAGGAACCTGTTAATTCACGTGTTTCAGTGTGTGGAAAATTCACGTGGCAGTCCAATATTGACCACCATCCATGTGACTCAAAATATGTAAATATATGCCTTACCATCATCTGTAGAAAATTCCCTCCTCTTAGACCTAGTTTGAGTGTTTGTTTAAAGTAACCATTTAATCCAATATTAACACAAGCATGAAAGAAACATTTCTTAGCAGATTTATATAGGTTTAGCTGAATAAGAAATATCTGCGATAATTAATGACGTTGCACAGAATCCGAAACAACTCACAGAGAACAATGGCTGCACCGTAGAGCTGAAGAAGACGGTAGATGAACACTTTGAAATAGCAACATCTCCAGATGTCAGACACCATGAAATATTGGTGCAGTCTACTTAGAGAGCTGGACTGACTAACTGCTCTGATGAACTCGACTGAGATACTGGCATAGCTCTAATCAATACTGCCAATGTCTTGTGGCGTGTTTGAGGACGCAATGGGAAAATCGACATTACTCCCAGGGTTTGATCAATACAGAGACCTAGGGTTCAACACCCACGTCATTCCTCGGCTATATTCGTCACAACGTCGTCCTCATCTGCTTATTTCCTACAGCTATTTTTAGCCTGCCTACTATCCCCTGAACCATATTACAACCAGCTACACATCCCCGCCACTCTAGATATGGCGGCAAGACCGACTATACTATGTATCTGATCTTTCTCAAATTCCAGTTCAGATCACGAAAAAGATAATACCTCAAACTCAAGTGCAAATGTAAATAAAATTAAGCTGAAAATACCAACAAGTTCTTCTCAAAATTAACTGTAAATGTTGAAATGTAAAAGTATTTTTCTTTCGTTTACTCAGAATAATTATTGCAACATTTTTTTTTCTCTTTTGAATATTGATTGTGTCTTGAAGTCTGTTGAATGTAAATGAGTGAAATGGCTTCCATGTCTATCTTGATAACTATTTTGATGCAAATAGAAATTCAAATATCAGGTTCTCCAGTGCTAAAAGTTGGGGTTTTTTTATACAGAGGTATGATTAAGTCTTATAAAAATGAACAGTGAGAAAATTATGCCCCCTGAACAGTATTTCAGTAATTTGATGGCGACTGCTACATGTATTAGGAAGGCTCTTGATTATGGGGCAGTAGGGTAGCCTAGTGGTTAATGTGTTAGCTTGTCATGCTGAAGACCGGGTTCCATTCCCCACATGGGTACAATGTGTGAAGCCCATTTCTGGTGTCCCCCGCCGTGATATTGCTGGAATAATGCTAAAAGCGGCGTAAAAATAAACTCACTCACTCTTGATTATGCTAGCCCACTATAGTTACCAATTTGGTTAAACCTATGAGCAAAGTCATGGTTCTGATAAGCCAATGTTCACAGTCAAGTTTGACCATGGTCAGGGTAAAAGTGATGCAACTTTGCAAAGTGACTTGCAGTGCAGATGAAGATACCATAAGAATCAGCCTTAAAAGGGACAACATTTACTTACCGATTCTATTTCAGTGTCCCCTTGGTGTTGTAGAAATAAAGCATGAGCAGGTATGTCCTTTGCACATCCTGCGCTGTGACTACGTCGTAGAGGTCGCGTCAGCATTTTGCGGAATCGCCTTCTTTTAGAGTCTTTTTTGCATGGAGTAACCTCCTCTTGAGGTTTATGTGTTGTGTGTTCTGTGTCTGACCCATCTGGGGATGTGTCACATGTAAATGTCACATGATGCTCTACGTGGTACGGAGGGGATTTGAGCGGGATGGATTCGGACACGTCATAGATTCCATCGTCCCCTACAGAGCTGTTTGAGGCTTCTACAGTTTCAACACTGTCCCCTTCTGAACTTCGCTGTCTTGTTCTTCGTAATCTTCCCAGTTTGAACCTGGACTGGGATGTTGTGACGTCATCGGACTTGCCCCGAGTAACACAAGCTCGTCTAACTGTGCACTTAGCTTGAAAGTCTGTGCAAATGTCTGATGTTTGAGGTCTGTCCACACTGCTCTGTCGAGGCGATGTTGCACATGACGGTGATGTTGATGTTGGTGACATTGGTGATGCTGATGACACTTTGGATATATGGTGCTTGGGGTTGGTCAACTGACGTACAAATTCATCCAGATCAGATGTTGACCACTGTTGTTGTAAGGGCGATGATGGTTCCTCTAAATGAACCCCCTGAAACAAAACATAAATAAATACAGTCTAAAGAAATCACACTCAAGCTCAGAGAGTTCTTTACACTAAGCACTTGTGAAGATCCGGGATAGAATTGGTCTTCAGTAACATATGCTTGTCGTAAGAGGCGACAAATGGGATCGGGCGGTCAGATTTGCTGACTTGGTTGACACACGTCATCATATCCCAATTGCGTAGATTGATGCTCATGCTGTTGATCCCTGGATTGTCTGGTCCAGACTCAATTATTTACAGTCTGCCACAAATATAGCTGGAATATTGCTCTGTGTGGCGTAAAACTAAACTCACTCACTCACTCTTTACACTAAGCCACTGTAAGCTAGAAATGACATCTGAAAAGAATATTTTGAAGCATAATGGTTAAAGAAATACATTTAATTTGATACCAAGAACTATTTCCACCTGTAACCCCTGTTTGTTTAAAAAACATGAAAAAGATTCATTCATATAATAAACACTGGACACACATAAATAGGAAAATAGTTTTTTAAAGTAATATGTCAAATATGACCTATTCAATATTAAATCATAGATAAAAAAATAAGAAAAATTATAATTTCTTGACAAAAACATTTCAGAGCCTTTCAACCAGTGACAATATCATGATAATTTAGTGTACCTATGAAGCATATTTGTGAAATTGGAATCTACAAGTAAGTCATGGAGGGAATCTTCACAAATCTTTAACAAACTAAGTTTGATCCAAAGTATAACAACCTCAGAACTTCTATGGAAACATAAAATACTACAGCCAAAATATATACAAACTTGGGATACAACGGCTACACTATGAGGCAAATGCTATATTTGACAAAGATATAGTAACTAATATTTATTCATGAATACCTTATGTTTTAATATCAGGGGAAAATTTCAGTAATTCTTGTAAAGTAAAAGAGCAATATATCACAAACAATCCCACTTATAGTCCAATGACAATGCCTTCTAGACTTAGATAAATTCCATTTTGAGTATCACACTCTGATAAAAAACATACTAGTTCTCTCAAAAATTCAATTCATCGAATATTTGAATGAATAATACAGGTCTAGTACAAACCATTGTTGGCATAGATGTCCTTCAAACAGATCCACCAAATAACAACTTCTGGCACCGACACTAAGAGGCCTGGAACTCTAGCAATGGACTGCGGCGTTAACTAGAATAGACTTGGCAGCGAGAGTGCTCTCTGATAGCACCTCCTCCTCTAATGATCTCTCTAGAACTGAAGAGCCGATGACGCCGGCCCAGCTATATATACCCACATCATGAAACACACACCAGCGTCGTGTAATCAATGAGCACACAATATCGCATGGCTGCGATGATGCAACTGGGTGCAGAGCTACACTGTTTAACTGAATCTGATTGGTTGTTCAGGTATTGACTGATTTTCTGAGCATCAGGATTGGTTTGGCCGTGGTCAAGTTATTCAGTCGTATCATTCAGGTGTGTGATATGACTCATGGGCTGCCACAGTTAATCCCACCTTCATGGACATGAAAAGCTTTGTCCCTTGGTACATCCTGCTTGTAACACCTGATGTCTAATTGATGGGAATGTTGCATTAACTTCACACAATTTATATATACGGTATGCACCGAATGAACTGGATGATAGCAGGAGAGTTTTTAATGGTCACTTCCATCACTTTGCGCTGTCATCCATTGCCATAAAACTCTACAACGTGGCTGAATTTCATGTACACAAATAGCTGGTGGGGACAATCATGAGGAATGTGTTATCAACAAGTCTTATTGAAATGGGTTTGGCTCACAGTAGCCGCTTTACCTGTCACACTGACAATAATATTTTTGATGCAACAGCATCACTTGCTCGTCTGTATCTTGTCACGAATATCAGGGTTATTATTAACATTGCAAAGATAGTATTTTTTTGCTGTAGTCAGCGATATTCCATAATTATCACATCACAACAGCTAGTAAATAATTGAGTCTGGACGGGTCAATTTCGTCAATCCAATGAATGAGCATATCTAAAGAGTGTAAAATGACACAAAATCAACTAAGACTGAACAACTGATCTTATAGTCACTTCTCACCATAAAATGGTGGAAAACAATACTACTCTCCTTTGATAAGGATATTTTATATATATACCACAATATAGATATATATATCAAAAGTTAAGTAATATATCATAACTCATAAGAATTAACTTTCATATCTTCATAAAATTTGTTAATGGAAACCTGATCAGGACAGCAATATTAATCACAAATAATCACGTTACTTCTGGAAGTCAGACCAAACAATATGATAAAAATTAGATGTTTTGGCAAAAGATATTCGCTCAAGAAACAAAATGATTTTCAGCTATTCATTTTTCTGCATCAGTGCTATCAATAGGAATTTTCAACTTATCATAGTGAATCAAAATAGACTCTTCTGCCCAACACAATTAATCATATTCTTATAACAACATTTTGAAAAAACAATTCAGATAAACATTTCCTTCAAAACTCCCATTTTCAAATCCCAAAATTCCATAGTGTCTGGGAACCAGATAAATTCAGAGAATAATCTTGATTCTATCTAACAAGAATTTCTAATTACAACCTCAAACTTTATTACAAACACCATATAAATATATGTGATTCCGTCAGCATCTGGACAACCTATAAACCTATAAATTCCCTCTCATCCACGACATATTTACATCTTGTTATTTTGACTGGATCTTGGGGGCTTCCCTCCATCGACTGTTTTCCTGCTCTGATTTCCAGCACGGACACCAACGTCAATGCCGATGCTTTGCTTCGAAATGTGATAGACGGCACTGACGTCAGAGGCCCTCTCTACTTGCCTGGAGAAAACAGACACCTCTGATGGCAGTGTTTGCCTTGAAACTTAATGAAGCGTTAACTGGGGCCTTTGGTATCAAGAGTATGGCAAGCACTCCAGGAATTTTCACTTGCTGATTGGACGTGTGAATATTGAACTCAAATTGGTCTTGGTTCCATCTGCGCGGCTGTTTACCTAGCTCGATTGGTCAGATGTAATCTAATGATGAATAATTAATATTTCTGACGCAAATATGGGTAAAACCCTTGTTTTCCTGTGCATGTTTTGCACAAAGATACGCATCGGATGATTTAGCCTGTGGTTTCAAGTAGAGATTATGTTCTCACAATACCAGAGTAATAGATAGTATTTCCCCAACAACAGATCAAGAATAACATGGAACATAGTGATATATATGCATAGGTCTTGTGACTGTTTCCTAATTTTTTGTAGATTTTATGGGGCTAAATAAGAAACCTGATAAAATTATTTTCAAATATTATGGTTCTCTCAAAATGAGTGTTATTAGAACTATAACAGTAAAATGTCTTAAAACCCATTAAACAAATCAAACCTTAATCTCAAACATCTGCCCCCAAAATAACTCTGATACAATTCTTCTCATCCTCGTTTTCTCAGAAATGACAAAGCAGTATTTACAAATGTAAAACGCCATTGGTTGTATATCTTGGATGCTGTTGAAAACATATGTAGAAGGTTCTGGTATCTTGATGAAACTCTGGCATGCTCTGTGAATGCTACACCTCTCCTCAGCAACTCTTTATCTACGTAAGTACCGGACACTTATCTACGCTATCACCTTCCTTCATCCCACGTCATACGTCATATAAAAATATTCACCAATAGTAGCCATGAGGAAAGTAGGATCCGGAATCGATATGTTGACAACGTCTAGAAACATTTGTTGCATAAACATAACAATGGATTAATTCTGAACATCAAACCTTTTCAAGGATGCTTCAATCAGTTGTGCCCCAAAAATGTCAATTTTGATTGACTGAAATTGGCAATATTAGATATGACTTTCAAATTGTTATGTTAAATAGCTAAAAAAATATATGTTTTTTCAAATTTCATTTCTGTAGTTTAATTTTTTTATTATAGTACCCATCAAATAAAAAATTCATGAAAAATATTTGATGAAAATACAAATATTAACAAAACAGTATTGGAATCACATGCTTTTGAATACTTGTTCTATGAAAGATATACTTTATACAAATAGATCACATGATATACAAGAAATTCCCTCACTGGATATTTGTTTAGATTTTCATAAAACATATGTCCATTCCAAACAGGATCCCAGACGCAAGGACAGAGTGACCCACAAGCAGAGTGATGTCATTCCTACAACAAAATGCCAGAAAGATTGGCGCTAGTCTCTCGAAGAATTCATTCTACCCTCAGCATAGCACCCATACCTGTCAAAGAAAAGGGTCTTAACATTTATGAGTGCACAAGAAACAGCTTCCTGACAACTAATGACATTCTTGTCTGCAAGAAACTATCCTCCTCTCAACTACTAACCTTTATGAAAAGAAGGCACCTGGTGTTGGCAGCTGAATGAGATTATTTCTGGCAGAGGACTTGAATGATTTCGTAGATGCGTAACATAAACCTATGTGAGGGGGTGTGCAGCATGAGGTATAAACATCCGAAATAAAAATAGACGTCGGAGTAAACCAGGATCTTTACAGGCACTGAAATGACTTCCTAAGTAACTAAAACATCTGTAAAACAAATCAGAACTATTTTTGTGACAGACATATTTTCAAGGTGATCTTCACCAAAAGAGTAAAATGAATGAACTCACTTTCTTTTTCTCATAAGTAAATGGCATACTTCTGTGACGCGTTTTTTTAGCAAATAAAATTATTTATCTTGCCATTTATGCATATTTCAGGTAAAATTATAACAGTACATGTGGAAACAATCTCACTGAAACCACATGTTTCACTCCAATACAATATTTCTATGTATGGAATTCTTAAGACACAAAACAAAAAATTGACCTGAAACAAACATGTTTTATGGAAATCTGAATTTCCTAGTTGGGAATTGTTACGTAATCATAACACTGTGACAATTGTTTAGATAAATCCCTGATGACATGTCTTTTACACCTGTGTCACACCTGTGCCACACCTGTGT